AACAAGTGGAGTATCAGGATAAGGAATAACATCATCCAAACGATCATTCCACATTTGAGCCCACATATTTCCTATTTTGATTTTAGAATTGAATTAAAATATATGAATAATCAAAATGAAAATATGAATTTACCGAGAATATGAGCTGGAATAGGTCCATTACAATCAAAACGATTTGGATACTTTGAGCAAAGGCGTCCTCGAACATATGCATGTAATTGTTCATAGAGTGGCATGATATCTTTTAGAATTTGATCGATAATACCTTCAAATTCCACAACACTACCCATCTCATAATCTGTAATCCAACTTTCCTGATAAGAAAATCAAATGATAAATGAATAGTTATTATTACAACGGTTTTTTGTAAAACACTAGCTAAGAGGAGTGTTGACTTTTAGAGATAAAAATGAAGATCTTTCTTCCATAGACTGTGGACGATGCTCTTTGATAAACGTTCAAAAATTGTATCTCAATATTCTTTCTTTATAATAGATGGACTTCTTCCTTATTGTATTTCTGAAGGATTAAGTATAAGAATGGTGAATAAATGTGACACAAAGACGATAGAATAAAACAATCTCTCTACAATTAGTCATAGTACCTAGATTGTGCTTTGCACTTTATCGCCGTAGGGATTGTTTTATCAGCTTCTTGTTTGTATATTTCTATTAAAGCTGTCAGCCTGGTCTCTGCTTGACAGGTCAGCAGGTTGTCCGACTGATCGCTGGTTTATGTTAAACACAAGTGATATATTGAAAACCATTGCAATACATTTAATGTTTCTTGTATGAGAAATTTTTTTACTGATTTGGCTATCAGGTTTCATTCACTGTTTTGTACAAGTACTGGTCATTTTACGATTTTCATAAAATTCTATTAGGCCAATTTCATGGTCTCCCTTAATAACATCAGAAAACGTCTATTTCGAATTTTGACTTGAAACTTTGCATAGAGACAAATCTTATTAAGAAAAAATTTAGTATAAAAGTTTCAGATTTTTTGATTGCTTCTACTTTAACATATCGCTATAGTAAAAGTATGTTTTCAGATCGCTCATATAAAACGGCGAATTCTGATATCCTTGATTCTAAGTAAGCACAATCGAAAATTCAAAAATTTCGCAATAAACTATTTTCATTAGGGCTTCTCTCTATGCAAAATCTAATACATAATCTAGTAGAGTCGAAAAACTTACAGCTAGATCATGATATCCATTTTCTTTAACATTCTTA